TTAATTATGTGCGAGGAATTGCCCTATTGAGTAATGGGAAGCGGGCTACTCCCCGAAAATGCCCCGCCCCTAGGTTCATTTGTCGTTGGGGCTAAAAATCTTCCTTGCTCGTTCCTAGGTCTTTTATTCCATTATTTTGGATCGCCGTATTATTTCACTCACTGAGTTCTGTAATTCATTTCTCTTTTCTGAATAGTTGGTTGTGTTGGATGATTGATGGGTAGTCTTAGATTTAGGTTCTTTTTCAAAATATGCACAAATCTTTTTAGGTTAGGTGATGTAAGCTTCATTTACAGTTTTCCGGCTTTTTTCGAGCTTCAAAAAGGCTTGAATTATTGTTTCTCCGTTCAGGTTTTCTTCATTTATTGTTCCATTTCATCTATGCGGTGTGATTTCTGGCTTCTGTTATATTTTTATATTTCTTTCTTTTCTTTTTCTTCCTTTCTATTGAAAAGGAGTCCGCTTTCTTCGCACTCATGAAAACAACCTGAAGCTGGAGGGACCAGGAACTAGTGGGAGTGGGAGCCAAAATAGGGCAAGAGCACTGGAAGTCACAGTAGCAGGCATCATATTAAGTTTGGCGCTAACGGAATCCATTTCGAGCAAAGGTATTCTCATATCACGGACAAGCCGGATCATGAAGAAGGGGTAAGTGGGCGGGCAAAAAAGGGTTAGTTCAGTTTGAAATCGACGATTCGTTCCGTTTTTTCAAAGAAAAAGGGGTAGTTAAGAGCATCAATTTCGCCTTTTATATCTTATAGAAAAGAGAGGAAGTCTAGCGCCGGTCCTAAAAGGAAGATGCTTTGGGGCATTCGGTAACTACCTAGTATGCTCTACTCTCTCCCGCCTTTAAGGACTCACGGCAGGAGAGCGATGAGTCCGTTCCCTCACTCCCACTAAAAGAAAACTCAATGCAAAACCGCTCGGGACCCATCCTCCAATGGGGCCCTTCTCTCAATTGTCGATCCTAACAGGGAGCTACATTTCTTTTTTTTATTTAGCGTAAGTAGAATTAACATAAGTAGTTTAAGTAGTAGCGCGTTACCACCCTGAAAATAAAACCCTAGGGGGGAATCCTTTATTCTCAATCAAGATGCCTCAACTGGGGAAATTCACTTCGAAATTGATGTCGGAGGGTTTTTCCTCTTCTCTTAAGAATTTATCTGATAGGAACAGGCTAAACAAAAAGAAAAGGGGCTGTTTTTCGTCGGAATAGGGGCCTGTTGACACAATCCCATTTCTTTCTCCCTATTTTTCCCATGTATTTCTTGGAAAAACCAAGGCAATTGAATTGAATTAGCAAGTCTCCAGACTGATTTACTGGAGCAGGAGAAGTCACATCACTGAATCAAGATGCCACTAACTTTATTCCTTACGCTTTTTCCGATGTTCGGGTCGGCTTTCTTTGTCGGACGTTTTATAGGAACGGACAGCTGCCCCATAATTTCCACCGTCATCGCTTTATTATTACTTTTGGTCACTTTAATACTGGTTTATATAATTTGAGTTTCCAAAGGGAAGAAGAGTTCTTTTCTTTTCTTCGTCATTCTCATTCTAATTTACGTATTCTGTACTTTTGCTAGATATTTGTGTTTTTCTCTGCTGGCAGGAATGACAAGCGCTTGCATTTGGCAAGTATCTTCCGAAAGTGGAAATGAAAGTAGTCTTCCGGCTTTGGAGTCTTCCTCGAGCAGTGAATCATTGGCTACGTTTAGAGCCGAAATAGCGGCCGATAACGAAGCTGAGATTTATGCTCGCATACGGAGTCTCCAGAGCCGTGATTACTACAACCTTCCTCCCCAGAATAATCCCGGGGAGTATGAGGGGCTTGTTCACAATAACTTCGAGCAAGCTATTGATGTGCCCCATTATAGGGCCATACTTGATAGAGAATATTTTGAACTCACAGTATTAGAAAGAAAGGGTCTATTGCAAGATAGGCTCTTCGATCTTATGTTTGGTGAGCAAAAGATTTATCGTATCATGGAACTTTCGCCATATACGAATATAAGGGCGGAGGCGTACGACTTCCTTGAGGGTAAGGTGGAGCCGGTGAGCTCTTTGCAACATTCCTTCCAACGGGATATCATGGACGGGAGTCTGAATTTCTTTATTCAGGATATAAACCAAAGCGGTAGAAATTCACAAATATACCGTGAATTCTACTCCCACTTTACCGATGAGGGATTCCGCCTCAAGTTCGGATTACCCCTACCTTAAAGGTCACGCTTTCTTTTTGGATCAGACCGCTCTTGGTCTTCGAACTAGTCATTAATGGTCGGCTTCATTGGTACCCTTTCGGTATGCGTTGCGAACACTTTCATTTTTAGCGTCTCATCTTCTCTATAGAAGCAAAACTCGAACGGATAGAACAGATGGTCCAACTACAAAACTTTTTCTTTTCATTACTTCCATGGTCGTGCCTCGTGGCACGGCAGCACCCGTACTATTGAAATGGTTCGTCAGTAGAGATGTTCCCACAGGTGCCCCTTCTTCTAATGGTACTATAATTCCTATTCCTATCCCTTCATTCCCTCTTTTGGTCTATCTACATTCCAGGAAATTCATACGCTCCACGGACGGAGCAAAAAGCGGAGTCTTGGTCAGAGCAAGCCGACCTATTCTATTACCAGACATAATTGGGGGAAGCTCATCCGAAACTAGAGCTAGAAAGGCCTTATTTCGTTTCGTTCCTGTTCTTCATTTCCTTCTTATCGAAAAAAAGGGGGATTTCTCATATTTAGAATCTTTCTGCGGTGTGCTCCGTTTACTATTCTTTCGTACTTTCTTCTCTTTACCACGCGATAGGTCAGCGAAGCGTGAGCGGGCGCGGAGAAGGAAAGGCCAAAGACTTCAGCCTAACGGGAATGAGCAAGGACGAAATGACAAGATGAGGCGCCCTGGGCACCCCCATTTAGAAAGAAGGGCCGAAGTTTTTGGGCCTGTAGCTTTACCCGTCCCCCCTGAGTCGGGCGGTGCTTGTGTGGGGGGTGCGCCACCAGAAATCGGGCTTGAAGCTCTCACCTTACCAACGAGCCGACAGCTGATGGCTGTTGGTCACGACTACTACAAAAAAGCCCCAATGAAGATGAATATTTCACATGGAGGAGTGTGCATCTTTATGTTGGGTGTTCTTCTGTCGTGCGACCCGGCGGCTTATGTGCGACCTGTGGCCCACGCCTCCTATTTGTTCAGGGCGGGCGGCGTGAACTCTGATTCGATCCGGGTATTCAATCCCGCCGCTGAGATGCTCAGTTGACTCCTTAACCTTGATAGGAAGATGGCTTATTCAATAATTCGTGCATAAGGGTAAGGAACTTTGGATGAACTAATGCGAATGGGTGTAAGCCTCGCTGCTCGGAAACACCCAGTGCTGACCACACTGAGAGACACGAAAGCGCAGGTAACGCCAGTTGGCGAAGTGGCGTTAAGCATCCCTAGCGGTACGAAAAGAGAGGTCGTGATGATATCATCTACGTCCGTACCGCTCCTCGTGGAGTAGATCCCGCATCCAACCAAGTCTTTGACCAGGGAACGGGATAATTCCCACTACCGCTGGCAGGCCAGCCGGGCCGTGAGCACGGTGGGGACGGGCTTCCCAAAAAGCCAGCCCGGGCCGGGGTCAGTATAGAATGAAGGGGACGGCCCTAATGTTGTGTTGGCAAAGCCAACTTCTTGGGTTTCGGGCGGTGAAAAGCGGACGTGGGGACTCGGGTCGGGGCGCAGCGTAACTAAGGGATTCCATTTAGGGCGAGACAAAATGGGCGGGCACGGGCGGTCTGGTGTCCGAGCCGATTGGTCAGACGACGACTACTTCACTTATTAGATTAGTATTAGCCGCCTGTCCGGAATGGAATGGGATGGAATAGAAAAAACGGGAAGCGCTATCGGTTCGGTTTTTTTGGGAGGGAGAAGCTTGTGAAGAAGGAAGCTTATCCCCGCCCCGACTGTCAGCTGCTGGCTCTCTCCATCTCTCCTAAACTTCCCCCGGGTTTCGGCCCGAGCTGTATGAGGCAGAAACTCGTCCCACGTACGGTTCGGAGGCCGAGCCCCACCCCAGCAGTAAGGGTGCGGCTTAGGTTAACTAACACAAAGAAGATACAGTTCACTCAACGATTGCCTTTGGGTTCCGAACTCCATATGGGGAAGGAGCGTTGTTGTTTGCAAGGTCTCGATTATTTACATGGACCCACTTCTCATTCAATTTGTGGGAATTTTCTGATCTATAAACCGTCCCTAACTAACGATCGGCTCATGTTTGAGGATGATGAATCACTTCGTGTCGACCTGTTGCCAATAAACTTTCCGGCCTCATATGAGAATGGAAAACTGGAGCATTTTCTGCATCGGTGGATGAAGAATCGCGAACATAAGAATTTCTGGTTGACCATGTTCCCAGAAAAAAGATACTTTCAAGAAACGACGAACACGACTGAAGTGGCTATACATACAAATCCATTTACGGATCTATATGCTCCGATTGGAACTTCCAGTTCCAGAACAGGTGGCTGGTATACTACCATAATGAAACTGCCTTTTATTTTTTTATTCGGATCGGATTTATGTTGGCTTCGTTGGGAGGATCGCGTAGTTTGTTACGTCAGCTCAAAAAGGATAAGTTGCCTTGGAATCGAGAAAGTTACGTGGAGTTCATAATTGCATAAAAGGAGTCAAAGTAAAGTAGTGGCTGCGGCGCGTTGAGGCACTTCTTCGACGGTTCCCGTACGCCCGGCCTGCCGGCCCGCTCTGAAGAATTCATGGGTCGGCAGGGGGCGAGACAGAATGGGCGGGCACTACTAACCAAGCCAAGCCCAGTTCCCGCCGATAGGCGCAGGTAGCTTGCTTCCAAGCCTTGCCTTATATGATAGTTGTGGCCATGGCCCGAAGGAGCCTTAAGCACTTGTACAATGCTTCAAGTCAAGGCTCCCCCACTCGTTGCCCAGAGCCTTTACTTTCCATGTTTTTAGTCAAATGCGCGCTAGCGCGCTACAACTAGCACTTTTTTCTCTGAGAGGCTCGCTTCTTCCCGCCCCTTATTGAAAAAAAAGCGCGTTAGCGCTTTTACTTTTATTTATTATATAATACCTTCTTTCTACTTCTTTCTCAAAGTAAAGCAAGCAACCTTTCGCCTTTATTTTTTTGAGGAGATATAAAAAGAAGCAACCTTACTAAGCAAACGTAGGCTTGGGCTCGAAAGCAAGAAGCAACGGCTTTCGCGCTTGTTGGAGCTATTAAGCATCTTAGACTATTCCATTCCATTTTGCAGCTGGACAGAAAAGTGGAAACTTTCCGCGGGATCCTCTTTCTGCGGGATGCTCTTTTGCGCTACGATGGATTTTTTACTCTTTAAGTGCGCCACTCCTTCTTTTGTCCTGTATCTGTAGCTGCTTTTCCCGCACTCTCTTTTATCCCGCCGAAGGTCCCCCTTACGTAATAGGGGTTAAGTTAAGGGGGGTGCACACCGTGGTCAAATCTGCATGAAAAACCGCGGGGAATCCTTAGTATTAAGTATTATGCTCCCGCACCCCCTATCTCTTAAAGGCTCTGCGCTCCCGCATTCTGATTGATCCTGTGCAATGTTGTAATCCTGCTGTTCCTTTATCCCCCGCCCGCAGCTGCTGGAGACTTAGTCAGATTTTTAGCCTTTTGCGGTACTGATTGATGTTATGGGGGATTACTTGGGTTGGCCGGACTGTTTGTTTGCGAAGGCCGAAGGACTAAAAAATGAGGTTTTTGATGTTATTGGACAGAATTGGTGCCGTTTTCCCACGCCTCCTTTTCCATAATATGATTATGAGCTGCCAGAACGCTTTGAAGCTGGAATTTGAGCATTTAATTTTGAACACAGGCCAAACTACGCTCCTAGGCTCCCTTCTTCGAGGTTGATTCCCCCAGATTCAAATGACAAGGAGCCAAAAGCGAAGATGGCAGCGGAGGAATCTGATGGCTAGGCGAATGGGGGGTTGAATACTCCGAGTCAACAGGGTTGGTTGGAAAGCCTCAGAAGACCGTGATAAAGAACAGCCTCGGAATAAGGAGCCCGAAGGGAAATAAAAGCGGGATATGGATCAAATCCTCCTCCCCCAAAATGTACCAAACTCAACATAGATGGATCAGCTACTATGGGAGAGAGTGCAGGTGGTGGTATCCTGAGAAAGAGTTCAGGTCAAATTTTTTATTTTTTCCTTCTCTTCATTCTATCACAATGGTACTAACATGATGGCTGAGACTAGAGCTCTCAGAGATGGGTTCAAACTATGTTCTGATAAGGGCATCCAAGTGAATGACATCGAATCTGATTCCAAAGTTATGGTGGACTCCATCCTTGGTCTTATATCCACCCCTTGACATGTGCTTTACTTGATCAGAGAATGCATCAGCTTATTGTCTTCTGGCATGATGGTTTCTCACATCTATAGACAAGGCAACTCAATTGCAGACAGACTGGCTTCTCATGCTTACTCTCACAGGTCTGATTGCATCGTTGAAGCTGCTTCTTCTCTCTTGCAAACAAGCCTACTACAATGACAAGGAAGGCCTTTACTCTTATTCCTGTTCCCGGAATGCTTTCTTTCATCAAAGTCACGTAAGAAATAGAAAACGTACAACTAAAGGCTTGTCAATTCTTGGTGTAATACTCACTCGAAAATGATGGGTGTCAGAATTTCTCACTTTTCAGGCAGTCTCATCCGTGTAAGAATTAGGAATTCCTCTTCCAACTCGTCCCAGAATGGGCGTTATGGCAAAGAACAAGAAGAAAACAAAAGGGGAAATTTGTCCAATAGTCACAAATGGTGCCTCCACAGGTTGACATCCGATCCAACCTAGTAGTAAGCGATCCGCCAAAAGCAACCAAAATATTCCTTGGTGAATCGGGCGAAAACTTGAACTACGTACATACATACTTTTAAAAAAAGGTAAAGCCAACAGACATATAAAAACTGGTGCTATTGCGGCTACACCTCCCGCTTTGTCAGGTATACTACGAAGAATGGCATGGATCGGTAGGAAATACCATTCCGGTACAATATGAGGCGGGGTGGGCATCGGATTAGCAGGTATATAATTGTCGGGATGCCCCAAAACATTAGGAGCATAAAAAATAAAAATGGAAGAAAAGATAGCAAAAGCTACCCAACCTACTAGATCCTTTACATAAAAATAAGGGTAAGAAGCAATTTTATCCATCTCTGAATGTACACCCAATGGATTATTTGATC